AACCCTTCCCCTCACTACCTTGCCTGGCATGCTCATTTTTCAGACTGCGCTTCAGCCTCTCTCTATTTCCCATTCTGGCCCATACACACAAAGCAATCACTCCTCTCCCACCACACCAGAGAGACCCAGGTCTTCACCCTCGTTCTGCACTGCAGGAATTGGTCTATGCATCATCTCCTCTACTAAACAGTGAGTGCCTGAGGCCAGAAACCACAGCTTACTCTTCTTTGTCCACTTCCCAGTGCCACACCTGACATGGGGTGGATGCGAGAAGTAAATGTGGGTTGAATATGAAATGAAAATACCCAGAACAGAAGGATTTATAGCAGCTGCAGGTTTTGTTTTGTTTTGTTTTCAAAAATTTAATCTCAAAAATTCTCTAAGAGACAGCTATGTCATGGATGCCAAGAATAGGAAGAAAAAAAAGCAAGACACAGGATCTTTGCCTTAAAGAACTCACATCACATCCAGTATGAAATGGGAGGATAAGCAAAGTTTAATACAGAATGATAAGTGTAAGCATAAGCCATAGAGTAGATATTGAGAGTGAACTACATTTGCATTTGGGGAGGCTCACTCCACACACCTGAAACTGGCTTCTTAAAAGTACTGAAAAGATACTATTTTCATCCTAGTCTTTAAACCCTCTCTATATTTAGAAGGCTTCTATTAGTGTGGCTTTTTAAAATGACTTTGGCTTGATCTTGCCCATAACATAAAAGTACTGAAAAGATACTATTTTCATCCTAGTCTTTAAACCCTCTCTATATTTAGAAGGCTGCTATTAGTGTGGCTTTTTAAAATGACTTTGGCTTGATCTTGCCCATAACATCAGTTGATGTTCTCATCCTCCCTTATCCTATTACAGTGCTTGAACCTGTTCCTGTGCGAGTTGGTGGTTTAGAAATGTTCTCCCTGGCTAAAATCAGCACTCACCAGTCATTTTATTATCTACTGTGTCCTGATTGTGCAGCCCCCTGTTGAGGATAATGGTGTAGGCAGGCATGGTCCTGCCTCCTGATGGGTGATCTGAAGTCTTCGACTCACCAGTACATGTGTTCTTCACTGTATTCATACATTATTATTACATAATTAAAACTAACTAGAATCATTTCATGTTCAGAATGTGCACTTTAAAGAAATTCTGACCTGGGCCGAGCCCGTGGGCGGCGCTGGGAGCGCAGTAGCGCTCCCGCCACGGGTTCGGATTCTATATAGGGATGACCGGTGCGCTCACAGCGTTCACTGGCTGAGCGTGGTGTGGCCGGTCTCAAAAAGGACAAACGTGGTGCGGCCGGTCTCAAAAAGGACAAAAAAAAAAAGAAAAGAAAAAAAGAAATTCTGACCTTTTTGTAGAGGTGGTAATAATATGGCTTATTTTTCCTAACATTCTTCTTAGCACTGGCATACGTGTTTCCCTTCCTGTGCACAGTGCCTTTCAGCTTGTGACTTAACTAGTAATAAATATAACTTTATTCTTTGGCTGGAACATATCTCACACATGGGGTATTCAGGAACCATTGTTTAGGAAAATGAATAAAATGATTGATTATACCTTTAGACTGGGAGGACAGTGGTATTATTTACGTAAAAGGGAGATATAGATAGGCAGAAGAGCAGATTGGGGACTAAGGAGGGATCACAGACTCACTTTTGAACCGTGTGTGGAAATAGACAGGAGGCAGCAGTATAAGAACTTGATGCCCAGAAGACCATATGATAGGGTTGGTAATGAACCAGTGTTGGCAGATGAGATGGTGTTGAGTATAAAAAGAAGAGGATCTAGGACAGAACAGTGGAAAACACACAGCTACAGGGAATGTGACCCAAGAGAAACCAACAAAGGATTAACTTGACAATCAAGAGAACCAAGGGAAAGATAGTGGAGAAGCCAAAGGAAGAGTGAAGCTTCATGGTGTCACGTGTTGCAGGATTAAGGGCTGAGATGAGACCACTAACTTTGGTGAGTAGGTGATATTAATACCTTAGCAAGAGCATTCTAGTAGAAAGGTAAGATGGAGGAATCCTGACTACATTGGGTTCAGGAATATTAGGAAGTGAAGACATTGAAATTATGCTTGTAGACCACTCTTTCAGCGTATTTCTATATCTTTTGGATTAGAGATGGAGCACATACAAATGAAAAGCCTCAGCATATTTATAAGCTGAGATAAGGAGAGGAAGACATTATACATATATGGAAACCGATGTCAGCAGAGTCCCTGGGGGGAGGGATGAGATCAACCGCCAGATGGGATAGGTATTTGCCTTGGAAAGGCACAGGGACATCTCTTTCTCCACGACAAGAGGGAAGACAATTAGGATTAGTAAGAGCAGATATTTGTGGAGTGGGTAGAAGAGAATTTAGGGTGTTCATGACTGATAACATGTAACATCCCTTCTCTGTGGGGTAGAGCACTATGCTATCTACTCAGGGTGACAGGAAGGGACATTGGGAGAGTACTGGAGGTAGCCCTTTACAGGCCAGGCTTGGTGTGGCAGCTTTGATGACAACCCAGATTGGGCCATCCTCTTGCCTAGTTCTGAGTGTGAAGAACTGTCAAGAAGCAAACAAAAGCATGCATATACGGGGATGTACATTATTTTCTTTTTTCTCTTTTAGGAACAGAAATGAGTAAAAGCAACCGGCAGAATAGGAGAAGAAAATACCAGAGCCCTTGGTTCAGACCACACGATTCTAATGAGAGGCAAGTGTGTTTGGCTGGAGAGCTGGCTTTTGCCTAGTGCTATTTTGGCATTGTCCAGCACAGTGCGTCTCACATGCTCAGGTGCATGGGAATCACTGGGGGTCTTGTCAAAATGCAGATTCTGATTCAGTGAGTCTAAGGCGGGGCCTGGGGAGAGGGCATGCTGCCAGTCAGCACACCGCACCTTAAGTAGTAAAGAGATAGAGCCACACTCTTTCTTTCAGAGTGACCATGACTTCTGGCCAGAGCATTAGCCATCAGGCTAGAAGTAGACATTACCTGATACAGTTGGAGAACTACTTTTCCATTTTGCAGGCTTTTTCTTTTTTTCAATGAATAAAAATATCTTTGTGGAAATATAATTTTACTAATGCAGCCTAAGTCCTGGAAAATGAAATACAGATGTTTATGTTTACATTAGTTTATATAAATATATATAATATATATACTCACATAAATATATAAATATTTATAAATATTTATTTAATATATTACATTAGTTTATATAAATATATATAATATATATACTCACATAAATATATAAATATTTATATTTATTTAATATGCACAAAAATGTAAAAATAACACAATTAACACCAGGTACCCACTTCCCAGCTTAGAAAATAAAACCTAGACTATACTTAGTTGAAATCTCCCATATAAACATTTTCCACATTCTGCTTCTTTTTCTGCACAAAGGAAGTACAATTTCATCTCCAAACAAGATGCCCCTCTCCTTACCCCACCCCAGGAGAGGACATCTCTACAAGTTCAGGGCTGCTGCTGTGACTCCTGGCCATAAGAAGCCCTCAGTTTCACACGCTCCCTCCACACCAAAGGGGACACATCTGCCAATTTTCAAACTCTTCCACACTCCAAACCTTCTTTTAAAAGGGACAGGTTTCTAGTTATAGGGTTAGAAGATATCAAATATCAAGATGCTTCTCAAGAACAGATTAACCCAAGCAGGATCAGAAAGTATCTAAAGGTTGTGGAGAGGATGGGGCTTTAGATTTAGGAGGTCTGGGTTGGACACCGTGCTTTCCTGTGGGAATTGGGCAAGTTACTGTATCACACTGAGTCTCTGTTCTTGTACAAAACAGTACTAATACCCCTTTAGGAGGTGTAATGTGTATAAAGCCTTTAGTGGGCTGCCTGGCTTTGAGTAGGCCCTCCGTACATCGTGGGTGTCATTAGGTACAAATTTCCAAATTTACCCATATTGTAGAAAGATCAGGACAGTGCCCAATGTTTGTATGTTTTGTACAGAGAACCATGGATACTTCTTGGGCCCCAAGCCTTCCCACAAGAGCACACTGCAGCAAAATGTGATCTATGCAAGAAGAGAGTCCTGGCCCAGCTTTGGCAGAGTGGCTTGGAAACTGCTGGATAGCCACCCTCTAGGCTCCGTGCAGAAAGAATGGAGCAGCACTCCTTGAACTAGAAACATACACATTTGTCATGACACTTAATCCTTCCTCCTCCTGCTAATCACAGATGAGCTACCTCAGGAAGCTCTGGGCCACAAAAGGGAATAAATAATTTTCCTGAAACTATGCATAGCATTAGTATTTATAGAAGGAAGAGAACATTCTTTCATTCCTTCAACCTAGATTTTGCAGTTTGTATTCCTTTTGGTGGTGGTGGTGGTGGAGGTGGTGGTGGTAGTTCTTGATTTTAAAGTAAATTTTATCAGGATTCTAAAATAAGGTCTTTTGTTTTATCACTGTCCTTCAGCCTGTAATTGCTACAGAAGGTGTTTGTGGCTTTACACATCAAGTGTTTTAACCATGGCTCTATCCCAGTATTGCTGAGCAAATTACCACTGTTCCCTGAACCCCTGTTTCTCCATCTGTAAAGCTGAGTGGCCAAGTAAAATTTAAACTCTTTATACTACTGAATCCAATAAAAAATGAAATTCACCTGACCTTGTAACTGCTGTTGAGCTGACAAATGAGCCCTGCTGGTAAAATTATTATTGGCAAAGGTTTCTGTTCTTTTTATCTGGAAAATTCCAGAAGACCTTACAGAATGCTCAAGTGAGATAAGAGGGAATTATTGTGTCATGCATCCTCTTTTAAAAAAAAAAGAAAGAAAAGAACGAGAAACCAACATCTTGCCCTCATTTTGATGTATTTTTAGTAGGCGGTCAATGCTCCCCAAACAATCAGAAAGATCAGAGGGCCAGGGTGAAGGCTACAGAACTGCCTGAATAGGACCCCTCCAGTCAGAGAGTGATTGGAAACTCAAGCCCTTCACTGCAAGTTACCACAGCTGTGTATCAACAGGTATAACACCCAGACACTACAGAGCCCGCAGGATTCTGAGCATGGCGATGATGGTGATTCCCCATCGACCTCATCTGACATAGCTGGCAGTTCTTCCGTGCCAGGTAAGGCAGTCTACTGGGCAGGACTCCTCTGGCCCTGCCTGCAGGGAAAGATGAAACCTAATCATGCCTCATCACCTGGTTGTGTCTGTTCTGGCTGCCCTTCCTCCTCAGCAAGGGCTCAGGTGTGTGTGTCTATGTGTCTCTTCACTGCATGGGTCTCACCAGCCCATTCCTGGCTTGATGGGAATTCTAGGAGCAAATTGAAACACTAAAGGAAGAAGGTGGGAGTCAGGAAAAGTGATCATGAGGCAAATGGTCTTCCCCAGGAGTGAATCCAGTCTAGCATGGTGACAGACAGTGCCAGCCTGGGCCTCAGAAAAGACAGGCAGCTGTGAGAGGCAATGGATAGACTACTGGGCTCCTTACTAGGTGGCTCAGTTCATAGTGGTTTAAGTTGGTGAGTTTAATTTTTCTGACAAAGATTTACCAGGGTATTACTTCGACCCTGAAAAGAACCGCTACTTCCGCTTGCTTCCTGGACATAACAACTGCAACCCCCTCACGAAGGAGGGCATCCGGCAGAAGGAAATGGAGAGCAAGAGACTGCAGCTGCTAGAGGAAGAAAACAAGCAGAAAAAGGTGGGCTCCACGCCCCTGAGGGCCGCCCTGTCCCCTTCACTCCTGCCAGCATGCATTGGTGCTGCAAGGAGGTGCCACTTGGACCCCCTATGACATGTAGTGTAAAAAAAGAAAAAAGAAAAAGAATACAAAAAGATATGTAGTGTAGGCACTTCAAGGAATGTGGCCCCAGATTTTCCATATAGGAAAACGATGAAAAGAATAAGAACAGGCAAGAAATCCCCTCCTCCCATCCCCCTTTTCTTTTCTTTTTTCTTTTCTTTTTTCTTTTCTTTTTGGTGGCTGGTTGGTATGGGAATCTGATCTCTTGACCTTGGTGTTACAACACCGCACACTAACCAACTGAGCTAACCAGCCAGCCCCCTACCCCTCTTTTCTTGTTTGCTAAGTTTCATCAGTAGTTTTCACATTTTGTCCTTCCCCAGGGGAATCTTGGGAAGCAGCATGATTTAATTTCAGTAGCTGTATGTTTTAAACAGAAAACGGGTGCATGGTTTGGAGTGCCTCAGGCAGTCTTGAAGACAGGTTGCACTGCGATATTCTTTGGTTGTGGTGGCAGTGGACTGGAAAATCCTGGCCTTGGCGTCACCAGAGGGCAGATGGAGAGCACAGTGCAGCCCTGTGTGTCTAGTTCCATTGCTGCACTCACTAGCTTGGTGGCATCATCTACCCAGGTGTAACTTGACTGGCAGGGTCGGGGGGTTGGATGGAGGTATTGAGCATACTTTCCAGCTCTCACATACTTCCTTGTTTGTGCTGGGCTTTTCCTTTTGCCAAGGAGAGGGGACTTGGAAAGGACACTGTCAGATTTTTATGCACATAATTTCTGCCAATTTAGTACTTGTTTCCTTCATTGCAAACTGTGAACCTAAAAACATTCTTGGTTATCCCATAACATAAATAAATCTTCAGTGAATTTTTCTTTTCTTTTTTTTTTAACTTAGAAAATAGCCAGGATGGGATTTAATGCATCTTCCTTGCTACAAAAAAGCCAGCTGGGTTTTCTCAGTGTCACCAATTATTGCCGGTAAGACAGTGCTTCATTATATTTTCTTCATGAATGTTCTTTTCCTGTTTTTTATTTCCATGGTCCAAGAATGCAATGAGGATGGACATGTGGATTTTCTGTGAGGAGTCTTCACAGTTGAGGGGCTCCAGTTCACAGTCTGCTTTCTACTGCTTAAACCAGCCCTGAGAAAGTCATTCTCTAGAGCGAGGGAGTGAAGGAGACTCTTCCAGAAGGATAGGGAGAGAGGACAGGATTCGGGCAGAAATTATTCAAGATGTTCACTCTTTGTTACTTATAAATCATTTTTTTTTTTTTGTCTTTTTTTTTTTTTGTGACTGGCATCAGATCGCAACCCTCAGTGTTGCGCCCGGACCGGACCGGGACCGGCAACGGGATCGCAACCCTCGGTGTTGCTCCCGCACCTCGCTCAGCCAGTGAGCGGCCGGTCTGTATGTGGGATCCGAACCCTCGGCAGGAGCTCCGCCGCACTTCCCAAGCGGCGCACTGTAGCAGTGCGCCACTGGGCCGGCCCATAAATCATTTTTATGATTCCCATGGAATTCCTGCCTCCTTCTCTTCCCATTCTAATGAGTTGTCACAAAATATGGGGTGTTAAATGGATGTGTGTATACTAAACTTTATCAAAATAATTGTGGTGGCTGATAGAATTCTAACTAAAACCTTATGCGGTAGGTTGACACTAACCCATTTCTTGAAGTAGAGACTGGGGTTCAGAGTAGAGTGATTTGCTCAGGGTAAAGCTAGAAAAGCAGGATCTTTCTAACTCTTAACACCTGAACCCCTAACCCCTGTGTTCTGCTGTCTCCTGCTGTACAAGACATGCATTTGAGGTGCCTTACCAGGGACACAGCCCTCTCACCTTAGAACAGTTACCCCTTCAGGAGACGCCAGCCCCATGTAGGGAGTGTCACCAGGGCAGGCCTCTCCTATATCTCCCTTCTTTTTTATTTTTGCTGGCCACAATGAGGATTAAACCCTGGACCTTGGTGTTATCAGCATCACACTCTAACCCTGTATCTCCTTTCTTCTGAGAGGGAAAGACTTAAAATTCTCATTAGACAGATCTGTTCTTCACCCTAAAATGTGCTTTGTTCTTAGTGGTGGGGCAGCTGTGCTGTGGAAGCGGGAACGGGGTCAGTAAGGCGGGTGCACACCTGGGCTGTTCTCTGTAGCTGTGTGTCGTTTCATCTCAGGCACATTCTGTTGATCTCAAGAGAAGGAGTTGTACTAGGTGATCTAGAAACAAATCACTCTAGTTAACTTTCTTTGATTCTGTGAATGGACCTCCCAGTTCTTTGTTTTAGTTTTCCTGAGCATTTTGTAGGAAAACTAAGATTCAAATTATGTGGGATCTTGTTCAGCGCCATTGCTGAGAAGGAATGTGAAGTGGGCCAAAGAGGAGAGACGAGACGGTCTTCAGGGGTGGGAGAGGGCAGAATCCCCTGAATCATCTTTGTGGATGTCTAGCTGTGGTGCCAGTGCTCTCCCCGCCCTTCTGTCTGTCTCCCTCTGCAGTCTAGCCCATGAGCTGCGTGTGAGCTGCATGCAGAGGAAGAAGGTCCACATTCAAAGCTCAGATCCTTCCGCTTTGGCAAGCGACCGATTTAACCTCATACTGGTGAGTGGACGGGAGAAGTCTGGATGCTGGGGTATGGCTGCCATCCCCCCAAACACTTTGTGGTTTAGCGTTGGTGGTTGTCAGGCCTGGCTATGTAGAAGCCAATTGCTCTGAAAGCAGGTAGCGTCGTCTTGGTTTTACGATTTTAATCTACCTACTGACTACCCATTGGTAGATGGAGAGCTGGCAGGTTAGGCTATGTTGTGACCATTGTCACCCCCACTTCTGCCCTGTCATTTGATGTTGGAGCCTAGACTTAGCCACACCTTGACTAAGAACCATCACAAAATAAGATTCTCTTTGCCTGTGTTGTGTATGCAATTGAAATGGTTCATGGGACCAGGGACCACTTCTAACCCTTTCCTAAACAGGGGCAGGATTTGGTGGCTAAACCTGAAGCTCCAGTGTGCCATCAGTAGAAGCAGGGTATGACTCCCTTGCTTGCTGTCTCTGTTCTCAGTGGCAGGGCCTGCAAGCCTGTGTCCCTGGGCCTGTACATCAGCATACCTCCATCACATCATTTGTAGGGTATGGAAAGTCGTCTCTGCCTTTGGTTAGACCCAAGCTGGAAGCCAGGCCAACTCTTTGAGCCCAGGGGCCAGGGAGATGTTGGCAGAGAGCTGAGGGTGTGCTGCAAATGAAAGAAGCCTCACCTCTCCACGGGCCACAGGACAGCATGGCCTGCCTGGCAAGCCCCACCCTTCCTGGAGGCCAAGGGCAAGTCTAGGAGAGTGAGAGGAGGATGCAGAAACAGAGAGCTTAGGTTCAGTGATCTGCTGGCAGTACTGGGCACTGAAGCTACACATTGACCTTTGAGGTAGATGCCAAGTCCTCTGGCCCCAGGAGACCTCAGCAGCAGAGCCCTTCCACGTAAGGGGTATTGGGGAACATGGCCCAGATTCTCCTTTGGCTTTACTCTCCATGTGCGTTTGGGGATGCAGTTTAACCTGAATCAGTAGAATATTTTCTTGCCGTGGTTTCCCTCAGGCACCCTTTCCCTAGGGTAAACCAAGTAGGGACTGTGGAGATCACTAATGTGTGGAGTCTTGTATAGCACATGCTGCTTAGTTATAAACCTGAACACCCTGATCCTCACGCTTCATCTCACCTTACGTTAGCTGTGTGGGCAGCCTTGTAGATCTTCCCCATCACCCAAAATTAGGAGTCTTGTATAGCACATGCTGCTTAGTTATAAACCTGAACACCCTGATCCTCACGCTTCATTTCACCTTACGTTAGCTGTGTGGGCAGCCTTGTAGATCTTCCCCATCACCCAAAATTACAGGCAACTCTCGCTGGCTGGTGTGGCCAGAGGGCTGGGAAAGGCAGTTTGCAACCCAGAGAATAATTTTTCAGATCCGATTCTAGTCACTGGTAATGATTCTTCCAGGAGCATAACTGTCCTTCCTGAGTAAATTTGCAAAGTCAGTGCAAATGACTTTCACCAGCATCCAAACCCATGTGTATGTGTGTATACTTATCAATAGATACAAAACACATAAATGTAGAGTTTATACAGTTTTTGCTTTGAAATAATTATTAACCACATTATATTTTTAAATGAAAACCAAAAATCTTGAAAATAGCTCACATCCTAATGCAGTTTTTTTTATTGTACATTTTATTCATTGCAATGTTGTTTTTTCCTGGTGGTAATCATAGTGCCTGTGTAATAGGAATACAATTTTGTATTTTCCTTTGCTTCTTAACAATTATAAATTATAGCTAACATTTTCCATGTTGCTGCATGACTTTCATTATGGCCACTTGATACATTCTCTGGGAAGATGTTCGGACTTCCAAACCCACTTCTGAGTGGGGTTACTGTGTGGACCTCGTTCTTCCTGGCCACACCCCCTCCATGCTGTCCTCATGCCTTCTCTTGGATTGTTGGACCAGACACCTGTTAGTTTTGACCAGACATGGCTATGCTGAGTAAAGCAAAGTTAGGTCATCTCCATGCCCCCTCATGAAGAGGAGCTCTTATCTGTGAAAATGCACAGAACATAGGGGCCAGGAGAGACAGGCAGGTGGTCCCAGGCAGCCCACCTGGCTCGGCCTGGGAGGTCACCTACAGCCCACTTCCCTCTTGCAGGCGGACACCAACAGCAGCCGGCTCTTCACAGTGAATGATGTGAAAGTCGGAGGCTCCAAGTACGGCATCATCAGCCTGCGTGGTTTGAAGACCCCTACGCTCAGCGTGCGAATGTATGAAAACCTTTACTTCACCAACCGGAAGGTGTGTGGCCCACTCGGTGGCCTCGTAGCCCACTGCCTAGCCTGCTTTGCTTTTGGATCCGGGGGCACTGCCACAGTTGGCCAAATTCAGAGTAGAGGAGAGAACTTTATCAAGAAGGCAGAGCACAGTTACCTCATTTTCCCAAAGGACAAATGGGTTTTCAGTTCCTGAGAATCCATAAGGGAAGGAAAAAGTCCCAGGGGTTTCTTGTGTTGGAAGAGAAAATGCGTTTAGGTGGTTGGGTAGGCTTGAGGCAGTGCTTCTTTAACTGGTCCTGAGGACCTTTCCTCCAGGAGGCTCAGGTGTTGATCTGAAGTGACCCACACCAAGGCACAGAGTTCCTGGGACGTGGGCACCAGTGGGTATGGCCTGGATGGGAGGGATCCTCCCCTGTGCAATCAGAACAGTGCATCCATCAGCCAGTCCGTGGCCAACACTGAGGTTTAAGTAAATATAAAGAGCTCGCCATCTTTGAGGTGGCCTTAAATTACAGTGGGGTAATGGCTGCATCTGTAAGAAGCTATGATTTTCTTTTCAGCTGGGACATGAGCCACAAGATGGATACAGGTTAAAAATGGTCCGTGAGTGAAGTAAGATACAATACACCTTCAGAGTTAGTTTTGTCCCCTACTATTGTGGAGAATTCAGCCCCAGCCCAGTTGGTATGCCAGATAGCTCACTGTGGGACCTGTGCTGATGCTGAAGGACTGAGACCTGGGGGTTGCTCCCTCTGTCCCACTCAAGGCCCCACATTGCAGGGCAAGGAGATCCCCTGTCCTCAGAATCCTTGCTCCAGCCCGTTTTAAGAGGTCACAACCTAAAGAAAGAAGTCACATGTCTGCATCCCCATTAGTTATTCCAGAAGAAAGCATTCTACTATTTTTCTCCATGAGTTGACAGTCCAGCCAATCTGTCCATCTTGCTTGTGCTTCCTCACCAGGTAAATTCTGTGTGCTGGGCCTCGCTGAATCACTTGGACTCCCACATTCTATATCCTTTGGCAGTTGAAGAGGTTTGGTGGGCAGGCCATGCCCTGATGTGGATCTGGGCATCTGTGGACTTTGCAAGATAGCATCTTAGTGGCCAGAGGGCTGGGCCATTCCGCACTTATGTCTCATCACCCTGCAGTAAAAAGTAGTGCACCTGAGTAGAAAACAAGGATTCTCGTGGAGCACAGGAATAGTCAGGATCCCATGGTGGCTGTTTCTCAGGATGAAACAGCTGTCACTATGTGCCAGATACTGTTTTGGAACTTCACATGTAAGCGGTGGAGACAGGATCAGAACCTAGGCAGTCTGGCTTCAGAACCTGCACAGTACCACTGTGGCATGCAGCATTGGGCTCTGGGGTCACTAGACAGACTTGATGGGTCTGTCTGGGTCTCTGGGGTCACTACATGCCAGAGAGTCAGTGCTTTAGCAGAGAAATAAAGCAGAATGGAACAGTATAGCTTTGGGGAAGAACCCCAGATCTTCCCAAGGCAAAGGAAGAAAGCAGCAGTCAGTGACAGCGGGGGTCGGGGGAGGGAGGTGTCTCCCAGGGAAGGCTGAGAGCAGAGCCAGGGAAGGGATTCCTCCGGCCTTGGCCACAGGTCTGTGGGCTCCAGGCATAGGGTCTCTGCAGGGTTGGCCTTCTTTAGAGCACTCTCACTTTATCTGCTTCTTAGAGAATGGTCAGGGCTTTTTTGCCAGGACCACAGTAGTGCAGTGTCATGGTACCTGGGCCCTTTCTCTGGGACCCTTAGGGGCTCTTAATGCTGCACAAGACTTGTTTGGCCTAGAGCTAAAGCCACATGTTAATAAATCTTGTACTTGGTTCATTCCCACAGTAAATGAGTTCTTGAAGCTGTGTGACTGCTCTTTGCACTAAACACCTACTTCATGAGCTGTCATGAGATTAACACTAGTTAACTTCTGTGAATGTGCTTGGCACAGTTTCTGGCACATCATTGGTCCTCAGCAAATGACAGCTGAATTGGAGCCTTTTAATTAGTTTCACAGCACTCCATTTCAAAGGGTTTTAAAGCCTCAAGTACATTACCTATCTGATTATAAATTTTATGTAAGGCACAAAATTGTTCTCTATACTGAAAATTTTACATGGCTTTCATTTGATGGGGTTCTGTGGGGTAATGGGACTGTCTGTTTCTATGATGATCTAACTAGATGACAGAAGAGGCCAAGCTTTACAGAGAGAGAAAACAAGAACCTTGCTCTCATTTCCGATCTTAAAACAGTATGGATTTTTTTCATGTTTCTGTCTTTGGGCTAAGGAGAGGGATAAAAATCCCTATACAGTCAGCCCTCCATATACATGGGTTCCTCATCTGTGGATTCAACCAACCATTGATCAGAAATATTCAGGAAAAAATAATTGTGTATGTACTGGACACATACAGTTTTTTTTTTTCTTGTTTTTCCGTAAACAATATAGTACAATAACTATTTACGAAAACAGTATGGATTTTTTTCATGTTTCTGTCTTTGGGCTAAGGAGAGGGATAAAAATCCCTGTACAGTCAGCCCTCCATATACATGGGTTCCTCATCTGTGGATTCAACCAACCATTGATCAGAAATATTCAGGGAAAAATAATTGTGTATGTACTGGACACATACAGTTTTTTTTTTCTTGTTTTTCCGTAAACAATATAGTACAATAACTATTTACGTAGTATTTACATTGTATTAGGTATTGTAGGTAATCTAGAGATGATTTAAAGTATACAGGAGGATATATGTAGCTTATGTAAATACTATGCCACTTTATATAAGGGACTTGAGCACCTATGGATTTTGGTACCTGAGGAAGGTCCTGAAACCAATCTTCCAGGGATACCTAGGGACAACTGTAATTGACTGTATTAGAGTATGGTCAATTGTGGCTTTAACGGTGGCGCCCTCTGGTGGTCATTTCAGGTAATCTTCAGGCTTTTATGCTGAAGATTTTTTTTGCTTCTACTGAAGTTCATGGAACTTTATCCCTTTACAAAAATGGCACCTTGTTCAGACCTGCAATCCACATTTTTCCTCCAAGAGTGATGGGAAATTTGAATTCTTTCTACACTTACCAGGCTTTTAGTTAACCCATGGCCCATTAAAGAATTAAATCTGTGATACTGGCCCCGTAAGTACTGTACAAAGTTTGATTATAACCTGGGTTTTAGCTGCAGTAACTAAAAGTGCATGTGGGTGAGGACTTTCTCCCACATCCTTGCCCTCCAAGCCCAAAAGCAAAAGAGGTTTATTTAGAAAGGAATTTAGCCACCCAGCTACAGTATTCTCATTTATAGCTTAGCAGCCTCTGTGTACTGGAGATATTTAACATGGAGCTTACCACTCAAGGCAATATGTCACAGACACATTACAAATTCATATGGTCAAGAATGTTGCTTGGTTGCTTTGCAAATTTTTCGAATGTCTGTTGATCATATACAAACCTGTACAAGATGCTAGAGACAGGCAGTTCAACAGGTGTATTAGTTTCTGTTGCTTACAACAAACACCCGAAACTGGGTAATTTTTAAAGAAATAATGTTTATTGCTTACATTCTTGAAGGCTAGGAAGTCCAAAGTCCAGGGAACACATCCAGTGAGGGCCTCTTTGGTAGGTGGTGACTCTTCACAGCAACACAGGGTGTCACATGGCAAAATAACTGAGCAAGAGAGAGCAAAGCTTCTCAGTTGCTCTCCTTTTAAAGCCATCAGAACCACGCCCTTTACAACATGAATGGATCGATTCATTCACTAGGACACAGTCCTCACAATGTAATCACCTCCTTAAGGCTCCACCTTTCAATTACCTTAATAGGATTTCTGTCCTGTTAACAGTTACAGTGGGGATTAAACATCAGTGAGTTTTGGGAGATATTCAATCCACAGCAACGGGTAATTGGCAGCAGCCTTCCTGGAAGTGGTACCCACATGGGAGGAGTGTATGGGAGCTCTTAGCTGAAGGAAGAGGCAGGAAGAGCTTGGTACATTTAGCAGCAGTTTGGAATCCATACTGTCTCTGGCTACGTAGAGCTGACTTTCAGTACTGAATCTTCAGGACTGAAGGACAGCCCTGGGGGACTGTGACTGTGGAGTCATTTTTTAAAAGATTACTTTGGTAGGGCCGGCCCGGTGGCGCACTGCTACAGTGCGCCACTTGGGAAGTGCGGCGGCGCTCCCGCCGAGGGTTCGGATCCCACATACAGACCAGTTCCCGCTCAGTGGCTGAGCGAGGGGCGGGCGCAGCACCGAGGGTTGCAATCCCGTTGCCGGTCCTGGTCCGGTACGGGCGCGACACTGAGGGTTGCAGTCCGTTGCCGGACACGAAAAAAGACAAAAAAAAAAAAAAAGATTACTTTGGTAAAAGATTCCTGTAGGGGGTTAGACTGGCAAGGGGGAGACCTCAAATGGAAAGCTGCTGCAGGACTAAGGGCGTCAGTGCAGGCATGACTGATGCACAGGAGTGGAGGAGAGGGCACTGGAGGATGGTGCTTAGGTTCTAACCAGGCAATCCGGTGACAGGAGAAGGTCCACGGATGGAAATCCAAGGCAGTGCTGGCTTGGAGGCCAAGCAGGAGCATGTAGTTTGGAATTGGCCTACATGGCCGAAGGGTAGGACCGGAACCTTTTCATAAGATTTAGAAACTGGGAGCTCATCGGAAACCTTGCTGAGAACGTTAAAGTGAAAAAGTGACGGTCAGGACTAGATTGCAATGGGTTGAAGACGGAAAGGTGAGGAAGCAGGGATAAACATATGCTCTTTGAGGAGAAGTGTGGCTGTGAAGGGAAAGAGACAGCCCACTAGACGAGTAGGCAAAGGATATAAAGAGGCAATTGAAGGAAAAACCAAGGCCCGGCCCGTGGCTCACTTTAGAGTGTGTGGTTCTGCTAACACCAAGGCCACGGGTTCGGATTCTTATATAGGGATGGTCGGTTCACTCACTTTGGAGAGTGTGGTGCTGACACCAAGTCAAGGGTTAAGATCCCCTTACCAGTCATCTTTTGAAAAAAAAAAAAAGAAAGGAAACCCAAATGACTGTAACCGTATGAATAGATGCACCCATTTGTAGTCCGAGAAATGCAAAGTAATAATGAGATGGCATTTTATACCCATTCAGATAAGCAGAAATTCTAGAATCAGGAACACTTACACTGCTGGTGTGAGTAAATTGATACAACCACTTTAAGTTGAAGGTGTATGTGCCTCACGACCCCACAATTCCATCCTAGATATAGACACTAGAGCAGTGTTTTCAAACTGCAGGTCATGACCTAGTGGTGGGCCATTAAATCAATTTACTGAGCAGCATTTTTGTAATGAACTAGATTAGAAAATGTCAGTTTTATATTTAATAAGGGTAAATACTTTACGAAACTACGTTTCAAATGTTTGTATGTATATATTGTATGGTAGTGTAAAACGAAACTCTTATCACAGGTTTAAGAAACACCGCCTTAGAGAAGCTCCCACACATGGGAGTGAGAGACAGAAATGCTCACTCCAGCAGCAGAGCAAAAAAACTGAAAAGAACCTACTTGCCTATCAGCAGGAGACTGGATGAATTGTGGTGTGTTCACATAAAGGAGTGCCCTGTGATAAAAATGAATGAACTGGAATTGTAAGAATCAACATAGTTGAATCTAGGAGACGATGGAGATTAAAAAGTTATAGAAGATATTCTGCGTAATGCTATTTACATACATTTTAAAAACATAAACAGTACTTTATTTTGTTCATGGACAAACATCTTTTTTTTTTTTTTTTTTTTTTTTTTTTTTTTTTTT